TCCTCTGTACTCCTTGTCGTCCCCATCAGTGATGAGGCCGACTATTGCAGAGTCTTCAGAGAACTTCTGCAGGAAGCACTGGGTGGAGTTGTGGGACAAGTCTGCAGTGTAGATGGTGAAGAGGAACGGAGCCAGAACCGTTCCCTGTGGGGCCCCCGTACTGCAGACGACCCTGTCCAACACACAGCCCTGAGTTCTCACATACTGTGGTCGGTCGGTGAGGTAGTCCAAAATCCAGGTAGTGAGGTGATGGTCCACTCCAGAGTTCTCCAGTTTGTCCTTCAGGACTGTGGGAAGAATAGTGTTGAAGGCACTGGAGAAATTAAAGAACATGATTCTCACAGTGCTCCCAGTGGTCTCCAGGTGAGCGAGGGAACGACGCACGAGGTGAATGACGGCATCATCCGGTCCAATGCCAGGCTGGTAGGCAAACGGAAGTGGGTCCAATGATCTCACCAGGTGCCGAAGCTGAGCCAGGTCCAGCCGCTCCAGGGTCTTCATCAGGGTCTTCATACATAATGTAGAAAAGACCATTGCATATGTCAACATATATAAATATATATATATATATTCTCTTTCAAACAAAAGTCACTGAGATTTGATTGTGAAATTGTCTTGAAATCCTTTTCCACATACTGAACTGTAGCACTACAACAAATGTTCACTGACATTCATGGGCACCCTAACATGTTGCCTGTTAAACAAAGGTCATTTAGACCTCATTTAGAAAGTTTGTTTCTTTCCTACAATCAGCATTGAAAGAGGGACTCCTACTAGCAGATCAATACAACCTGTTTCCTGTATAAGCAAAGAAAGACAACTGGACATCTAATAACTTGTTTACACACAACTTCACACATAGAGATAATGAATGACTGAGAAGGAAACAGAAAACTACCTATGCCAGACCAATGAATGGACTGGTATGGTAAATGTGTTCCGTTGTCCTTGACAGAACCAACATTTTTAACAAACAGCTTCTGTTCCAATTCAAAACCCCTGAAATATGTTTATGTGGATTCTGATTCATTTGCTGTCTATTCCCTGAAAACACTGTAACCAATAAAAATTATTTCCAATTCGTCCACCTACATGCAGAAACCACAGATTAAAGGTCTTGTGCATATTATTCATGGCTGAGGAGAGAAAAGCAGGTTCTCCTTGTTCTCTTTTCTATCTATATTCTCTGGTTACGAGAAGCAATAAATCTGGGGCCTGGGTGAGATTATAGAGCTACCCTTAGCTGGAAATGAAAGCTTGGTGTTTATCCTGCTGGTCAAGCCTCCTGGGTCACACAGCAAGGCTGAGCAAGTGGCTAATATTTAGAGGGTAATAAAAACTAATAGGAAGATGCAAAGACAGTTTTTTAATCTCAGGTGAACAGGAGTGTAGATGTAGTATTGTTCAAAAAAAGAAAAGTCTATAACAGGAGTAGTTGTCTGCTGTTTCACTTGTGTCTTTGTTATCCATTCTTAGGTTTAAAATGCACTTGTAGTTGCCAACTGGCTACGCTCAGTAGGAGAGGATACCAAAAGGCATTTTGAGGCTACTGAAACATGATTGTCAGAGGTATTGTAAGCAACAGCAGTCTTGAGCCTTAAAAGTCATCAGTGCTGCTGTCTGAGTGTATTCATCTGACTTCAGGATGGCTGATCACAGACAAACAGTGCTCAAAGTATTGTTTGTCTGTTTGTGTGTTTGTGTTTGTGTCTGTTTTCCCAAACTGTACCAAGTTGTTATTGTCAATAGTAAACATGTGATTGAATGCAAAACATGAATTGTGTTTGTAGGTGTGTGTGTGTGTGTGTGTGTGTGTGTGTGTGTGTGTGTACAACTGCACAGAAGAAGGCAGAGTTTCATCAGTCAGATAGCGGAATAGTGTGTTCAGTGAACGTTTTCAGGTATTGATATTCTACAAAGCAGATTATACATAGAATTAATCAGAAACGTCATACATTTTATTTAGACTGTTTATATAAGGTTAGAATCATATTTATAGCTTCTCTCGACCCCTCAAAAAATTTGACAACACTACAAGTGAAACACGGTCTTTAACCCAAGCAGCAAAGCAATAACACAAAACCAAAACGTGCTGCTATTACAGATACCCTGACTCGTTTGCATACTTGTTATTAATAAATAGACTAATCAGAATATTTCAAAAGTGCTTTCAGTGAATTTTTCTAGGTTCTGCTATATCACAAAGACAATACCATGCATCAGAATAATGGTGGGATTTGTGAACATTTAATGAGCAATGTTAACTGCCAGCACACTAGAGTTGTCTAATTCTTGGAGTTAAGAGATAAGCAACATTAATTTTTCTTCCATTCTATATGGAAGTTTTTTGGTCCTGCACTGAATACCTACAGAGCCTTCACCATAATGGGAAGCATCATAGAGTTTATTTGTGCTTGTGTATGATTTGTGCATTGTGCTGCCATCACAAGTAAATCTGAACTAATCATGACAGACTATGAGCTATTTAATCTTGAACAAGTTACTTTTACTGAAATGCAGACAAGAAAAATTAATACTGGACCAGCTGTGTGGATGAAAGAACTATGGAAATGAGAACACAGCATAGCTCTACACTGGAAGAATACTAGGTATTGCATAAGCATTCTGAGAAAGACAGACAATGACAGCTTATTACATTTTATGGAGCAACTTAGTATTAACCAATATATTGTAATATACTACTATAAGGTTAGAAGTGAAGCAGCTATTTTAAATCAAGCTTTAAATTTACACTGTTGCAAGTAAGACCCAGCAAGTGTGCTGCACAGCATAAATTTGCAATATGTTGTTGAAAAACTGACAAAAAAAAAGGCTGTAGGCTAGTCTTTAGCTCAACTTTAGGTTAGCTGAATTTAAATCCTTTCTGCAAAGCAAAGCATTATTTTTTTTTCTGGAATCCCTTCTTTTCTCTGTTCTTCCGCTATATTGCAATACATGCAAATTAAAATGCAGCTTGTAACAATGTCATAAATTGGTGATGTGATTTGAAGATAAATAGACATGATGCCACCACACCCGAGACTTGGGAAAGAACATATTCATAACCAAATAAATAAATATATAAATTTGCTGTGGGTTAGAAGTGTCAAAGGTGGTGGGCTTTGCTTTCAAAAGGTCAGCATAGGGTGAAAGTCAAACTCTGAGCAGAAAACCACATAGCTACTCTCTTTATCTAATATAATGGCTCTGTTCTGTGTCACTGACTTGTGTGCCTAAAACCCTGCCAGCCAGAAAATAAAAAGAAAAGGAAGAAGAATAAACTGTTGCATAAAACCAATCTTGCACCAAATTAACTAATTAACTGGTATCCACCCTGGAGCAGCAGCACCAGAAAAGGAAAGTCATTTCTGTTTTCTAATAATAATCATGGTAACTTGTTAGTGTTACTCCATACTGGATGTGTATGTAGTACCTGTTTGCAGACAAGTTCACTACAATTATTTTTCCAACTTACTAAATATGCATGAGCTAACCCTTCCTCCTACGGGAGGAAAATCACGCATTTTGAGTGAGATTTAGTCGGGAGTTAATCATCTGTATAAACCACAGTGTGGCGCGATGAACAACACAACACACAAAAGGTGAAGGGACTCTCTGTTCTGTATGGTGTGATGCCTAAAGCCTCACCGTATGTATAGATCTATTTTCTTTTTTAACCATTTAGTCTTATATTAAGTGTTAGCTTAGCTAAACATCCTATCCATGCCAAGCTGCGCATTTATGGACGTCTATTAAACTGGTAAACTTTCAGGTATAATTCACACATACATACACTGACACCCACCCCCTTTTTTCACTCCACCCGAAAGACGAGTGTGGGTTCCTCACTGCGCCTCCTCGTCAGATTTATCACTTGGAGCAGAGGAGAACCAGACGCAACTTTTCCTTGTGAAGAAGTGCCGAAGGACAGAGAAGCAGTCGTCACATCAGCACGCACAGTTTAATCAGTGAGCAGCAAAGCTGAGACCTTGCGTCTCCACCGGCTGGATTGTCCGTTAACAACCACCTTCAGCTTGCGCTCACACCTCACACAGAGCGGGTAATTAAACTTTGTTTATTTATTCTTTTATCCTAAACGTTAAAAACACGGAACATTTATCAATGTTTGCTGGTAAGTGCCTGAAATATTATTTCAGTTTCACGCTGAATTTCATCTATATAGTTCTGCTTTTTTCGAGGGGTCTGTTTTTTTCCAATGACAGCAATAAGTAACGCTCCCATGAATTGATTTGTATGGTTCTTATTAAAAATAATTGTCATTCTACTTTTTTGTATCATTCTCCCTGCTTTCTCTCACATTATATTGTGCGCTGTTTTGGGTCAGTCGGGTTAATTGCATTGCACTTATCACTACAAATCCGTTTTTATCCTGTTAAAATGTACCCTTTTTCCTGCGATGGGTTGCCATATTTAGTGTTTCTTACCTCATGTTCAGGGGCATTTAAGTGATGAATTTTGCAAGAAATAAAGGGCACTGTCATCAGGATCAGCCTTGTCTGTTATGTTGGTTTGCAGTAAAGTGACAAGGTCCTAATAAATTACATAAAATCACCGACTACATGTCTTTACCCACACATATATTCATCAGGAAAAAATCAAAGACATGTCACACTTGCCAACACGATTAAGCGTGAAGCATTGCGATCATGTAATTTGTTGTGATCATATCTTGTTGCCATGAATGTGACCCTGCATGAGTAATGCTGAGTTGGGAAATGTCTTTTCCAGGTGAAGATGTCCTTTTGTTTCCAAAGAAGACGCAGCATGCTGAAATACTTTATCTTCACGCAAACATCTTAGCTCTGGAATGCATTATGTACCACAAAGTATGAACATTTAATACCTAATTTATTGGATCAAGTTGTTCTCAATTTAAAAACCAAACAAACAAACCCAAAAAAAGAAGGATTGTCTGCTAAGATATGGGAGAGTCAAATATCAGCCTCATGGTAGGACCTTCTAGAGAGATGCAGGAAAATATGGACAACTATGACATGGACTATGGCATCCCTCCAGATGAGATCCCCGATACCACACAGGGCCAAGCCTTCTTTGTTGCCACCATTGTTATCGGTGTGGTCCTCATCTGCATCATGCTTGTTTGTGGATTGGGAAACTTCATATTCATTGCCACACTGACAAGATACAAAAAACTCAGAAATCTAACCAACCTGCTCATTGCTAATTTGGCCATCTCCGACTTCATTGTGGCAGTGGTTTGTTGCCCATTCTTGGTGGACTACTACGTGGTTAAGCAGCTTTCCTGGGATCATGGATTGGTGCTCTGTGCCTCTGTGAACTATCTCCGTACTGTGTCACTCTACGTGTCGACAAACGCATTGCTTGCCATTGCAGTTGACAGGTGAGTTTCTCAATCTTTTCATTTGTCTGTATGTCTGTGAGTGAGTCTGCAAGGGTGTGCAATTAGATTCAGTTCTTTTTATTTGAAAAAAATATTTCATTTTTGTGTATAAAGTGTATAGAGATTATATAACTTGAAAAACTTTGAAAACTGTACACCTCTTTATTCAGCTGTAATGGGATGATATGAAAACTCTGTGCAATTCTTTGTCTTTGTCTTTTCAACTTGAGGTCTTTACTTCACTTGAAAACAACACAGTATTTTTCTCTGAGTGATAGAGACAAGAGGTTATGATGAGTGTTTAAATGCTGAGGTATCAACCCAAAAGAAAAATACAGATATGCTTAATAACAAAAAATGAGAATCTTTATTAGGCTGTTTAAAGAAGTCTGCAAGCATAACCCAACAGGGGAAAAGCATAAATACAAAAACAAGGATCAGTAAGGTTCCTGAATCACACCAGTTGGTCCCTATTTGGAAGAGTAGCAGGTTTACTTTGAGCTCCTTGCAAATGACCAAGCTTCTCACCCTATATCTAAGGTAGAGTCATCCACCCTTCACAGGAAGCATTTTTTTAGTTTTGCAACTGTGATCTTTTTCTTCCATTCACTAACCACAGCAAGTGACTATGGGTGATGGTGGAAATGTGGATGGACAGTTATTATACAGCTTTGCTTTCATGTTCTCTTCATTATGACAGACAGGTACAGCATCTACATTACTTCAGATGCTGCACCAATACATGTCTCATTCCCCTGCTCTCTCCTTTCTTCATTCTTGAACAAGGCCTCACGATACTTGAACTTCAATTTGTGCAGCAACTCATTCCCAACATGGAGTGGGCATGCCGCCTTTTTCTGCCAGAAAACCATGTCCTCAGATTTGGAGGTATTAGCTAGTTTAGTTTCACTTCTCAACCACCTCAATGTAAGCTGCAGGCCATCATTTGATGAAGCCAACAGAATGACATCATTTGCAAAAGGCAGATATGAGATTCTAAGACTACCAAATCTGGCCACGTGAATCAGGTAGTCAAAGGCAGAGGCTTGGGTGGTCTCATCCCCAGTTGTTGAAACAGGTTCTTGGGATATGGAATGTTATTGCTGTGGTGGGGAAGTAACCTGAGCTAGTGATTGAGGTGTTACCACCAATATATTGCCATGCTTGCCTCAATGAGCAGCTTGGGTTCTGGAGCTTGTCTCCTGCAGAGAAGCTGAACTCTGGAGCTGTCCAGAGTGGGGAGGGCAATGAGCCAAGCCAATATACTTATATCCCACCCTGCTCAGTGCAGTATTCCTCAGAGTTGTTTTCCTCTGCCTTTGGACAGGGGAACAGATCCCAGCTCTTGTTTGTGCTCACAAATAAAATGGCAGTTCAGAGACCTTGGCCATCTTGGAGCTCATAGATGGGAGATCTTTATCTCATCTGTTGCAGAGGTGGGAAATCTTCACCTCTGGCAGAACTTGGGCAGCATTCTGATGTAGGCTAGGGACACTGTCTCAATGAATCATGTTCTGCTCCACTGCAAGGAATTGTGGCTGTTGCTTCCTAGTGGCAATTCTCAAACCAAATTATGGAAGGAACTGTCAAGTTGAAGTAGTTGATCTTATTAAGTTTGGTTCGCTTGTTTAGCCCTTAAGGCAAAAGGAACACACATCTGGCATTTGCTGAAGAACTGTGGGAGGTGTTTGGAGAGGTCATGGTTTGGTCAGGCTTTTGGTTGGCTTCAAGATGATTCTGTCATCAGACAAGTCAAGACTGGTGAGATCCCAGGGATGGATGAAATTCACCCAGTTTCCTTTAGGATCTGGACATTGTGGGGGTACCCTGGTTGCCTCTGCAACATCAGGTAGATGGTGGGTTTCCACTTCAGGGGAATCACATGCTTCAGACTTCCTGAGAAACACTTTGACCTCCTGGAGGAGAGCAAAGTCCAACTGTTGGATTTAAGAGGAACAATGTTGTTCCCTCCCTAGCCATTAAACAGTAGACCACCCATTTTTGAAGGAACACAGAAGTTTGCTTAGCCAGTCTATATGTGTTTTTTGGATCTGAAGAAGGCGTTCAGTGAGTATGTGTGTCATGTGGGTTGTGCTTTGACGGTATCAGGCATGTTGTTGCATGCTATTTGGTTCTTGACCAAACTGACAGTTTGGTTAACATTATCAGATTGTCAGACCACCAAAATAAATACCCGTTACTCAGGCCGGACGCAGCAGGTGTAACCAGATAATCTTCCACGGCACACCTGATCATTTCTCACGGCACACCTATGTGCAGGGGTTGGGAAACGCTGCTCTATATAGTATAGTCTTGACCTTTGTGCAAAAGTTAACCATGGCTCAGATTTATTTTCAAGTGTTAATACATTGTCAATAAGGGGAAAAAATATGTGTTCACACTATCACTAGTGCTTCAAAGAGCACATTAGTAACATTGGTTAATTCATTTTTGACTGTTCATTACCTGAAGAAGCTCAGCATAAACAGATCCGCTTAATATTCTGTTTAGCATGCAGCAGGTATATTCTGCTATGATGAATCTTTTTCATGTCTATCTCCATCT